ATACTTCCGTGATTTACCCCAATGGCTGCTAAAATCCATCTGAAACACATGAAAAATCATCGAAAAATGATCAGAATAAATGAGCGGGTCGCCCAAAAAATGGGCGACCGCTCGTTCATTTTTTCGTTTTGCACAGAAGAATCGAGCGGGTCTGCCCAAAAAATGGGCGACCGCTCACTCATTTTCTGACGCCCGCTTCCCCTGCTTTTCGAAGCAACACGGATTTTTCCTCACGCTCGTGTTGTATTTGATCAAAGAGGTTGTTACGAGGGGATTTTGGAGGTTTGGTTAGGAAAAGAGAAAAGAAACAAGGAAGGTGAAGAATGTACATCCCGGTTTGAACCGGGTTGCTAGTTAAGGTCGTAGCTAGACCGAAATGCGGTTCAATCAATTAAAGAGAGGGAGAGTACAGAGGTACCTCCTTCTGGTCTAATACTCCCTGGATTGTATGGCTTGAGTCTTTGAGTGTTGATCATGAAAGTTCCGCCTTTTCCGTTGTCGAGTTCTACCGCTCCATGAGATGTAACGTTCTTTATGATGAACGGTCCCGACCACCTTGATTTCAGTTTTCCTGGAAAAAGTTTTAGTCGAGAATTGAATAAAAGAACGAGGTCACCTTGTTGGAGGTTTCGATCGAGGATGTGCCGGTCGTGCCACTTCTTGGCCCGCTCCTTGTAAATCCGCGCGTTTTCATATGCGTCCAAGCGAATTTCCTCTAGGTGATGGAGATCCTGTCGACCCCCTATACCGTTCTTGACTCATATCAAGGTTCAAAAGAGAAATCATACACTGATTGGGACCCCGAACTTGCTCCACAAGCGGAGAAACGAGTGCTAGAGCTCCATCACCTCTCCGCTTGTGGAGCAAGTTCGGGGTCCCAATCAGTGTATGATTTCTCTTTTGAACCTTGATATGAGTCAAGAACGGTATAGGGGGTCGACAGGATGCTTCCGGGGTCCAAATCTTCATTTCCAGGTGAAAACAGGCGGGTCGCCCATTTTTCGAGCGGGCCGCTCGCTTCTACAGTGTC